AAGCAATCGTCTCAGAATTTATAAAAAACGGGTCGAAAAATCATGCAGCACTGTACAAAAAGAAAAATGACACATTTTATTGACTTTGAAAACTAGTACAGCCTTCTTTACCTTGTTATCTGTAGTGTCTAGAAAGATTTTTCTTATATTTGAATAATTCTTTCGTGTAGATATCGTACATTGAAATGTCTGTGAGACTCTTTTTAATTGTTTAAGAATAAAATTCATTGGGTATCTATTATTAAGCAGTAACGGCATACATATGTGGCCTTCTTCATGTTTAAAAGCGCTATAACTAGAAGAATATCTTATTGTTCTTACAAGAGCCCCGAATGGAATATTCTTTTTTATGTGTTCTACGTGTATGCTTGTGAAAGGGAGAAAATATGGTTCATATGATGGTTTATGCAAAGTCTCAGACACCAATTTACCTCCTCGATTCTGTAGTTTTATGTCAAGGTACTCTGAAGTCTGTCCTATAGATTCTGAAAGTTCGATATCACTATCGAATTTATTCTAGAAACACACAAGACCTTTCAATATATCTACATGAACGTTTGACATGATATATAGATCATCAATATATTTGTAGTCTAATGAACATGTCCTATTATCCTCTTTTAAGATTGAACGTTTTACAAAGTACATGTATACATTGGCTATCGTGAGGGTTAGTGATGAATCCATCGCTCCTTCTCACATTTGTCTATAAAATGATCCATCTAGATAGAAATAATTATTGGTCATAACAAATCTGATAAGAACTAAAATGATCTCTTTTTTAACACCATCGATTTGTTTCAAACCAGATGTTTCAATCAGTCATTTTATGGCTGTTACCCTTCCTTCTTATGAAATCATTGTATACAAATCATTAACATCTATTTTTATGAATAATGTAGCTGGTGTAAGATACCTAGTCGACCATCTCTTGATTTGTTTTATTAATTGAACTCCATTCCGAATGGTTGTATCACATGTCAAACGGTCGAATAGAGATCTTAATAGTTCATTCAACCATCTGGATATTGGTATGGTTGAGAATTTAACACCCGACATTATGGGTCTTAATGGTATTCGTGGTATATGTGCTTTTAATAAAAAATAATGCTGAGCTAATTCAGCCTCTTCTTTTTTAACCTTCAGTTTTTCCTATTGTTTTTGTCTAATATGTTTGTTCGCTGATAAAGGGTGTAGTTATGGTTGAAAAGAAGAGAAACAGCACATCCTACACGTACATCCATACCCATACTCTTGTACTCATTTTTTAAATAAAAAATATATTGTTACTGAAGTAAACTTTCGGTAAAAACTGTTGTCAATTTCATTTATCCGTGGAAAAATATTTTATTAAATTAAACTGAACTCAAATGTAATAAAGTAGAATTTTGTCAACTGAAACGAATATTTAAAATGAAATATTTTGTTTTCCAAATTTTTCTCGAGATAATTTATGTTCATATAAAATTCAAATAGAAGTTAATATTTCCAGTTGGAATTTAAGATTTCAAACATTAAAGTTATATATAATAATATGGCACAGTCCAGTTAGGTAAGCTGATGGGTTTGTAAAGTGACGGTCTAGATATTCCTGAGAAAACCAGGTAAGATCCTGCGAGATGTAGACAGAAATTTCTTCTTCACTTAAGAATCATTTAAATCCTGTCAGGATCCTGTCGTTCCGTAGTTGTACGTTTTCTTCAGGGTTTTATTGTTTCCTCAAGAAAAAACAGCGAATCTTTGCAGAATCCTTATCAGGATCTGTCAAGAATCTGGAAAGGAAATATCAAGGATTTTGCCTAGGAAATCGTCGAAATAGTTATATTATGTGACAATCGTGGTCAGTTTTCTTTAATCTAACCAAATTGAAATCAATTTCAATGATCAATTCTTGGACACTGAACTTCCAATTGAAACAAATCGAGATCGAATTGAAATTTTAATACTCGTTCCTAACAAATCTCCGAATGATTTAGTTCAATTTCACAGTTTCTCAACTCAACAAATATTAAAACAATTTTCACCACTTGGAAACTTAACTACTTATACAAATGAATTTCATTCGATTTTAACACGAGATTTTATTGAAGCAATTCATCGACATCCATTAGTATTGACATTTTGGTTCTATCTGAATGGAACGAGTGTGCTTGATGAACATTTCTATTCAACTTCGGTTCATTCGTCCGAAATACCTGGTGGAAAAGAACAATGAACATCGCACGATATTTATAATGACCTTCTATCACATTATAAGAATTGGAAATATCAACTTGATAATTCATGTCAATCACTTCGATTTGTTGAGAGTGTTTATCAATTCCATTGCAAAGATTAGACCAATATTGAATCAAGTGGTCAATTATTTGCTAATGAATTAAGAAGATAATATTCATTCAAATTGACGACTTTTCTTCTTGAATAAAACTTCAATCTGTATATCGGAAACTTTGTTACAAATCTCCTACACATTTAATGTAGATCAATACAACGGCAACTTAACAATAAATAGAATTGAAAAGATCCTCGGTATCTTCTCATCCCGATTCGACATTTCTCTAGGCTCGATCAATATCGAAGATATTTTCCTGCAATTATTGTGAGTAGTCTATTAAATGATAGAGAAAGAGTTTTAACTAGAGGCAGCAATAAAGAAGTCGAATTTTGTTTGCGTTTAGTAGAAATTCTTTTCAAAATTTATCGACTATTCTATGAAAATATAAATAAATGAGAAGAATTTCAAAAAGCATCTTGTTGTTCTTCATGTAAACATCAAGATATTTTCATGTATGAATTATTTCTATTGTTCTTCGTCATTTTTAAACAATGGTTAGATATCCATTTCAAGTTCACTTCTTATAGTGACTAAATAACAATGGCTGCTAGTCCACCTGCAATATCTAATGAGCGTCTATGTTAAACAAGAAAAAAAAAGAACGATTGCCGTCCACGACTATCGCTGCTCTCCTTACAAATACGTACTTGTTGTAAATGAATGTATATTTATTGTTTTCATTCCAATGTCAATCGAACTCTTATTCATCTTAGGCAAAATTCTTTTCAATCATTGACAAGGTGACAAGCCAAATATTTTTCTTCATATAATCCAAAAGAGAGGGTGTGGGTGCAGTTACAGGGAAGGACTAAACCCACACCTATACCCACATCCGAAAATTTTGTAGAAATATCATAAATGCTGACAAATACACTACAGACACGAATTTTTTGGATATTTTCTTAGTAACATCGAGATCGACTCATAAATAAGATATAAGATCGAATGACGTGCGATAGTTGAACATGTTTTCTTGTAAATTCTTTATTGCAAAAAATCTCCAATACCGATGTTCTTCAAACTTTTTTCCATGATGTGTCATATTCTAATCGAAGAATGTCAAAACTGAATTATATATAACAGATGTGCAAGACAACCTCGAAAAAAACGAGAAAAGTTATTAAATACTTAACAAACACAAAGATTTTCCCACAATCTTTGGCAAGATTTGAACAAATTTCGTATAGTTTCTTTGATTGTTGATAGCACTCTGATTGACGTCAGAATATCAGAATAAGCAAAGACATGCACAGAAATGGTACAGTTTCGATAGATAACAGAATTATTTACACATCGAAGAAGACACTGCTTGTTTCATTTCTATCACTTTCTGTTCACGAATAGAAAGAATTGTTGATGCACGAGTATACACAAGAAGCGATCGAAAATACATCAACACAATATCAATACCATTTTTATCAATTGATAGATTCTATGAGCTATTGATCGATTTAAAATTCTTCATAAAGTTGTTCAAGAAGAACATCTTGCAATATTCTATGTAAACACATAACTTTCAATATACATCTCTCTGAGAGAAGGCCCACACAAATTAAATGATTTTAGAAAATAATTATTAGAACATTAATTTTTCTCTCATTATTAATTATCAATATTGATGAATGATTTTATTAGAAATTAATTATTGGAACATTAGTTTTTCTCTCTTTATTAATTATCAATATTGATGAATGATTTTATTAGAAACTAATTATTGGAACATTAATTTTTCTCTCATTATTAATTATCAATATTGATGAATGATTTTTTTTTATTGATGGTGGTATATCAAAGACATTCATTGCAAATATGAATAATGCATGCGTCGGTGGCAGACAGAGCCAAATGACATATACCTGAAATATCAAAAAAGAGGCAGACAACATGTGAATGGTTTTGTTTTATTTGATTTAGTAAAATAATAACTAGTTTAATAATTCTTGACAGATATATATTTTTTTCATTGGTATAAATTGTCTAAAACTGACGTCAGTTTGGTCTTGTTTGGAAGCAGTGTTTTAATATTATTCAAATGAATGTCTAAGAATAAAAGAAAATATTTGCAGATTTTCGTTTCATTGTTCCAAGTTGTAATTTAAAAAGATATCTTCATAGTATATCTAACATTTAGAAGATAATTTCACGATAAATAATGATCATTAAAATTCAGACTCTTGTATTGTATGATTTTCTCATTAAATTGGCCATTATTAATTCTTTAAAAGATAGTATGATTCTATACCACGCATATTTTACTCTCTTATGGCATATATCTAGTAGATACTATAACAAAACGACAATGTGAGAAGCTCATGTTGTCTGACGTTTGCTTTTGCGCAAATGTGGCAAAAAAAAAGATTGTTAGCGCAATCCCTATGGGGCTCAAATGTGTGGAACTCATATATGCCTTCTAGCCTCATTACACTAATACAACATGTGTGAACTCAAAAATCTCTTGTAGACTATAGTTGTTTTGCAGGATAATCAATCATTAGAGTAAGGATATCTCTAATTGTTGCATTTTGAACAGAAAATTTTTTATTTCTTCTACGGACGCTCTATTTTCCGTTTCCATTGTTGCTATTCGCTCGCTATTTTTCATTTTTTTTTAAATTCGTTTTCTTAATTTAACATTCTTATTATTATAATCATTGAATGAGGATGTCTGTATTGGGGGTGTCTATAATAGGGTGAAACGAGGTGGGGGAAGCCGTGAAACATCAAACTTAAAACTTAAACTCATTATCTTCAAATATATATATGAGTTTACCATAACATTTTCTGAATGGCTTGTATGAATTTTACGCATCAATACAGCTCGTCATACATATTTGCGCTGCTGGTAATTAACAGAATTGACACAACTGTAAAGAGTGAATGAAACTATCGAAGCGAAAAGAGAGAAAAAAATTATGAAGAGCAAAATGTATATATACAGCATCATTTGTATCCTTGTCATACGAAAAATCAAACATACAAGACAACTGAATCTTAGGTAAGTGATATTTCTGTTGAAGATTCAAGTCATACTTGAACCTCAAAATAATCTATTTAGGCACAGTACATATGATAAAAAATAGTAACATCATATTTTTTATCAGCACAAATACAAGCCAAATGGAACTTCCACTCCCCTTTCCGGACACGAAAATTAACATGTTTCAATTTTTGGTTTTTCATCACTAATACAGTTCCGAAGTGTCCTAGCAGAAAACTCGTGCTATGATTATTCCATTGTATACAAACTTTCTCTGATGATGATGATGATTATTATTTTTCATTGCAACACTGCTTAAAGCATGAATCATGGATTCCCTAACACCACTAAATGCGGCTAGTTTTCGATCAATCTATTAACTGACACTTTTGTTAAAGGGATTAGATATAATTGTGGTGCCTACACTTTTTTTGCGGAATAGTTTATAGATGAATGGGAAAATTAAAAAAATCGAAGTATCAAAAATCGAACATTCTATGAATAATACCTTTCGGATTGTTTTATGTATTACTCATTGACCTGTGAAATTGATCGAATAACAGGACAGTCGTTATATGAGTATTGATTTTGTTTTCATTACTACTGTCAATGTATGCTACGTATATAAAATATATAGGAAAAGATCTAAAAATATTTTATTTTATTTAGTCAAGTTTTGTGAAATATATACAATGACTGGATGGATGTTTTGGGCTTTTATTTGCTTGGCTGTTGGACAATTGACCCATTCATTGCCAGCAAACGATCAAGGTCTTCGACTCCGTACAGTAATAGGTAGAGCTGAAATGTTAGAAAGGTCATCGCCCAGTTTTAGTCAAAAATTAAGATCTATTAAAAACAACAACGAAGACAACGATGAGCGTAATTTTCTTCACGATTTCAACCGCCGGAGCCACACCGAAGATTATGAACAAGAAGTATTCGAACTAACAAATGAAGCACGTCAAGAGGGTCGCTACTGTGGTTCGATCTGGTATCCCGCTACAGAAGAACTTGAGTGGAATGAAAATTTGGCCAAGGCCGCAGAGAGACACGCCGAAAGCATGCGTGATTATAATTATTTTTCTCATACAGGTATAGATGGAAGTACTTTTGTGGATCGTGAAGTAAAAGCAGGCTATTCGAAGAAATGTGCCGCTGGTGAAAATATTGCTGGCAATCAAACTCCTAAAAAGACAGTCGATGCTTGGCTCAAAAGTCCAGGACACTGTGCCAATATTATGAACAAAGATTTTAAGGCGATTGGCGTTGGATATGCTGAAGGTGGTCCTTACGGTGGCTACTGGGTTCAAAATTTTGGCTATTGCTAAATATATGATGATTATGCCATTATTACGAACATTTTTTCCTTCTTTTTCCTCATTCTTTTTATCTCGCTAGTCTTACTAATATTTTTTATATATCTTTTAACTTATTCAAAATAAATTAAGTTCAGTACAAAACGATTTTACCACTAATAAGTCTTGTCAATCTAGATAGTCACATGATCAGAAGATTCTTACTTGTATTAGCAAAAATTTTCATGAAAACAAACGTTAATATTTGATATTTCAAAACATCATCAACTATTAATTATTTAGCTTTTTTGTTATTATTTTGTACTTTACACAGTATATCTGCTATGGTAATCAATATCCACCACATTTTTGCTTATTTTGTTTGTTACTAAATAGCAAGGCGAACTCCATAGGGAATGTTATAAGTCTTCAAAAATGACAGTAGAAATATTTGTAGATATTAAATTTTATTTCATAATTTTAGATTATCATATTGTTTCAAGCAAATGTCAATGAAAATTATCACAGTACTACGCTGAAAGACGAAGACATGTCTTAAAATATCTACAATCTTTTCCTGTTTTAATTAATTTTTAATATTCGTTAACAAACCAAATGTGAGCAACAACCATTATGATATTCTACAGTGACTACTTAAATTGTTGTTAATTCTATAATTTTGTGTTAACAAATAAAAGGTTTCATATAAAGTAATCACTTCTTTTATCTAGTTTTTCGTGAAATTATACCTTGGACATTGTAGGGTTTTGATTATTTGGAACAAACCCAATTTAAAAATATTTGACAAGAAATAAGATTAAAATCGATGTTATTCAGTCACGAAGGTACATTTCTCTGTTTTTCAGATTTGTTCAAATCGATTTTAATTTGATTTCTTGTCAAAAATTTTTTACACGTGTATACTTTCGTTTTTTAGATGTAGGTGAAGAGAAAAGCCACAGCTATCCAATCATTGAATAATAGAACTAGTTTAATCAAAGTTCGATGAATGAGTTGGTTATTATATAAGAGCATTTTACCATTTCGTTCTAAATCGTCGAGGAAAAAAAAACTTAAAATGAAATTGATTCTAGATTTTTATTTAATCTTAGTTTGAACATTGAACATTGGCAATAATTGGTGCAATATACAACTCAATTATTACATGATAAACTTATATTAATTATTAATTATTTATTTTGTTCAGATTTATTTCTCGCAATATGCAGAATGATGTGAGAAAATTGATTGTCATGGTGGTTTCATCAGATAATAAACCATTCTGCTGATGTTCGATAAATAAATAATGTATAGTGATTGTTATCTGTTTATGCCAGTATTGAATCTGATATCAAACTAACGTTAGTTTTGGATTAATTAATGAAAATATTCATCATATAGATAGAAATAGCAATATTAGATTTAATGAAATATCCAACGCCTAGGAAAATAAAAATAAAAGAAAAATCACTTTTTCAATTAAATATTTTAGTTGAATAGAAAACTCAATTTTTCCACAAGGGAATGATTGTACAATATTTATTTGAGTATAGTTTTTAAGTATTTATTCGTGTAAGAGATAATTATTTATTGTTTATTGAGACCATACGTTGAATGTAATTTTTTGTAATTATAATTCGAAAAATAACGAAGAAAATTCTTGTTGTTTTCCTTTAATCAATATTTGATTAAAAATCATCTAGAAAAAGACACATTTATTTAAATCAGTTCATTAAGTATTCTCTGTGATAAATATCCTAATCATTCTTTATAATAGTTAAATGGTTTTCAAACGAATTTTACAGTGAGTTTATTGAGTTAATTTCTATTATTCTAATTTAATTCTATTCTATATATATATCATACGTACAATATTACTTAAAGGAGTAAAACGATAACATAGAAAATGTAAAGATATTAAACAAACTTTATTTTATTATGTAGATAATAAAAATCAAGTCAGTTTTCGATTTGTATTTTTTGAAAAAAACATCCAACTATATGAATAGTCATTAGAAGTTCGTTTCAAAAAATTTATCACAAAATCTCGCGAATTAAAACGAAAAAGTAAAATAATTCAACCAAGTGGAGATCGTCAATCAACATTTACTGCTTCATGTTCAACTAGTTCTGCTTTTTGAATCTATCTTAGTCCATATATACATGTGGATTTCGTTGTCTTATATGAGTATGGATGTGAACAACATTCTCATCATTATGAAGTAATATTTATTATCGAATTGTATGCGCATATGGATGATGCTTTATCAATGGTAAAAAAATGTATTCTAATCAAGAGTGGCAAACTTGGTATAACAGTGAATGATTGTGAATCGTAGTAAAATTTTGCTGATATGCACTGATTTGAGATTGAAATATAACATTTGTGATCACAAAAATTACTTCAAAATAGTTTGTGAGTCACTCATTCATCATGCTAGAAACATCATTGAGAATACGATCGAACGAATGAAATGTTCACATCACTTTGTCAAAGTCATTCTTCAACCTATAGACTATTGAATATACAAAGAATATTAATTGATAGTTTGCAATTCAGATTTATTGAGAATGCACGTAAACTGAGAAAAAACAAGGTTTATAAAACAAAAATGTGTTGATTTTTTTTTCTAGAATTTTAGCAATCATATAACTAGGCCAGTGCCCATTGTTTGAATGAGTTACCTGCAGCACGGCATACTTGCTTAGCAAATTCGATATTTGGATAGGGATCACATGGAGTTTTGCCTCGATTACACAATTTCCAATTGTAACGATTCTTTGCTGACAATACATCGACAACGTGCTTGATTGATTCTATTCAGTAAGTTTGGAAGAGCATGTCGCTGAGTCGAGCATGCGCCGTGTTGATCCACATGGATATAATGGAGACTTACCCGATGAATAATTGGAATCACACTTGTCAACAACGATCACATCCAGAAGAAGAAATAGAACGAGAAATGAATGCGTTTTGACAATAAATACAATAGTCGCAAAACTTCTACCAATATATATATATATATATATAGAATGTTTTATTACATAAGTGTATTTGCATCTCGGACAGGCGCTACAATATTAAGAAGGCAGTTGGTTGAATACAAAATGTATTTTCTCATGAACGAAGAATGTTTTAACCTGTGAATTTTAAAATGATGCAATATTCTTGTTTTAAACAAGCCATAAAATTACTCTTTGGAAAAATGGATTCATGGCGATGAATATAAAAACATTCGTTAGATAAAATTATTAGAAGGTTGAATGAACACATTACCAGAAATGAATAAATAACTGCCTCAACAAACTATTGATCTCATCTCAGAAATAGAGTCATTATTGATAATGAATTTTTGTAGATTTTGCTAATCAATCAAACAAGATCTATTCTTAATTGATTAGAAGATACAGGTCGAAATGGTGAAATAATTACTTTTCAAAAATTGTTTCTTAGAAGAAAAATTGAATACGACCATAAAAATACGAATTCATACTGTCAAAGATCGTAAAGAGATCGTTTGATTGAAAAAATATGACGGTTTATAAGAAGAGTTCAACGATTGCATTGAATAGACATAAGGTGATTGACCGATAAATTTTCGATCGAGATGAATCGATACTACAAGCACTTAGAAACATAGAAGATATCGAGCTCGAATTGTTTATCAATGGACTACTATTCAATCACGTCGAGTTTCTGAACGATGTTCATCGACCTATGTTGTACTTTTCACAATGAGTTCTCGTTCCGTCATTGTTCTCACTGATGATTTTCGAATTCTTATTTTCTATTTTCACTCGATGTCTAAATATGCTTTTGGTTCGATCCATCGACACTACCTAGAATCGATCTCTGATCAAACACCCAATTCAGGGAGTTGACACGAACATATGTTCATTCGAATTCTAGCACAAAGGACAATTTGAACAACAGTATTATCTTGGTAAAAATGACATTACTCAAACATGTGGAATGGATCCATGTTCGATTCAGCAGATCATACTCTAGAAGTAAAAGCCAATAATAATTTAATTATTATGAGATTATCATCAAAATTGTCTGGGAAATATGCAGAGTGTGCTAGTCGTAGAATAAAAATAACCGATAAAAAGTATCTCGCAGCTTCACAGTGACTTGAAGATTCAGACTAAAAAACTTTCTTTGAAATTAGGAGTCCGACTCGGGTCCGAGTTCGAGTTCAAAACTTTTGGATCCGACTGGCTCTACGTCACACTATCTATCAGCAGTTTTTCTTTTTTACTTTGCACAGCAGGATCACAAAAGTTCACTTTCATAAAAACGTTGTGATGTCACATCACGGTTATCAACATGTGCTTAACCAACGTCTGTTCATCTAAGTATTGATTTTGGTATGTTTTTTTGCCAGCAAGAAAAAAAACTGACTAGCGATACTCAATAAAACACACTATTCTCTATTTACTTATCGATTTTCTTTTCTACCCCAATGAATATACAGTCGGGGGGAAAAAAGTTTAAGTGAAATTAGTTTTTCAGTATTTTTTTTTTCATATTATGAGGTACGAGTCTGATTCAAATGGTGATATAGATAGTATGAGAGGCCAGCTACCTAATATATTATAGAACAAGGCTCTACCTACCTATATAGATTTTTCATAATTACAATAATTTTTTTCTACATAAAAACAGGTTTAAGTGCCTTTCAGTATTTCCCATTTCCTAACCAAGAGATTTAAGCTAAAATGAATCAAAATTATATCGATCGATAGAGCATCTCACGCTCTATCAGTTTATAAAAAAAAAGATTTTTTCCCCAGAGTCGATCTTCACCTCCAAAATTTGGTTTTAGTGAGAATAACCGAAAAACACGGGAAAAGGTGAAATTCTTCAAATTCCATCTATACAGACAGACAGAGTCTCGTTCTATAATACATCATGTAGCTGGCCTCTCATACTATCTATATCACCATTTGAATCAGACCCGTACCTCATAATACGAAAAAAAAATACTGAAAAACTGATTTCACTTAAACTTTTGCCCCCGACTGTACATTCTTCTCAATTTTGTTGATATTACATAGATGTCCGCTGTGGGTGTGGGTTGAATTAAGAACAACATACCCACACCCACACCCGCCCCATACCAAAATTGAATAAAACATAACGCATTCGCATTGTAAATTATTTTTTGTTTTGTATCTTTATAATTTATTTTTTTCTGCGACATATACCTTTTTAGTTCTTCGATTATTTTTTATAATGTCGAAATAAACGAAGGTTGTTGACAGCGTTCGGTCATCAGAAATCTATATAGAAATGAATGTTTTTATTAATGCATGCATCGATTATTTGATCATAGCCAAATCACACATAAAAAAATATGATCGAAAGAACAGATAACAATTACAGGTAGATCAAGCTTTTCGTTAGTGCAATCATTTGAAATATCAGTGTATAGTGTATATTGACGCCAATCAATGGATGCGGTAGTAGATGGATTATTTTTATATAAGCTATTGAGTGGGACGTAATATATTGAATGATTAGTATAATAATTATCACTGTATATAACTCACCTCCTCATATCTTCTACTATCAAAAACTATATACCGACTTCAATTATGTGGGAAAGAAGAAAAAAAGAAGAATGTATGTCATCAAGAGTAACAACCATCAAAAAATATTAATCACCATCTAGAACAATTCAATCTATTCTTGTTTATTTTAATAAAAAAAGAAGACTATACAACATTCAGTAAGTATATGAAAACCTACTAGACAATTGAAAAAAGCAGTGTACTTAACAAACATAGTTTCCTCTAATATTGTCAAAGTTTCGAATCATTTTATATTTGTCTTTGAAATATTTTTTAACTTTTCGATAATAGATAAAAGAAAATCAACAACATAAGTTTTTTTTTTCATTCAAAGTGAATTCATTTTCTCGTCATTTATTAATCATTGGTTATGGTGGTGTATCTCAATGTGCATTACCACTTATTATTGATTTTCATTTACTAAAGAAAAAAATAACTTCTATAACTATTATAGATGTACTTGATCTACAATTTAAACTTCAACCATACCTTGATCAATATAATCAGATCAAATTTCATCAACAACTTGTAGATAAAGATAATTATGAAGTAATATTGGACAAATATCTCTCTTCAAATGACATTCTTTTGGATCTTGCATTTAATCTTGAGACACGATGTTTATTAAAATGGTGTAATGATTATAATGTTTGTTTTGTTAATACGTCACTTGAATTATGGGATTCACTTGGTTATGCACATCTAAATGATCCACGTTTATTAACATTATATCAACGACATATGGAAATAATCGATATGCTCAATGATAAAACATGGAAAAAAAATGGTTCAACAGCTATTATTGATCATGGTTGCAATCCAGGACTCATTTCACATTTCGTTAAACGAGCACTTATTGATATGACTAAATTTATTCTTAATGAATGTGCAACATCTATTTTAGAAGACAATCGTATTAAATTTGAACAAGCATTAAAAGAAAAAAATTATCCTCAATTAGCTCATTTAATAGGTATTAAAACAATTCATGTATCTGAACGAGATACACAAATAACTAATGTACCAAAAAAAGTCAATGAATTTGTAAATACTTGGTCAGTCGAAGGTTTTATTGAAGAAGCGTTTGCATCAGCTGAAATGGCATGGGGAACGCATGAAAGAGATATACCTAATGAATTGTTATTTTATGATGAAAACAAAGGATCTTGTAATCTAGTGTGTTACACACGCAAAGGAATGAATACTTGGGTGAATATTTTTTATTATTTGTTTTTTCTATAAAAGAAAAACAAAAAGAAATAAACAATTTCTAGGTTCGTTCATGGGTACCAAGTGGAGAAATAATTGGAATGGTTATAAAACATGGTGAATCATATGGGATATCAAAATTATTAACTATTCATAACGACAATGGAAATAATAATTCGGTTGTTTATCGTCCAACAGTTCATTATGCATATTTACCATCAGATTCAGCAATAAATTCTTTAATGGAATATCGAATGCATAATTATCAACTTCAACCTAATATTCGTCTATTAAATGACGACATTATTGATGGTGTTGATGAAGTTGGTGTTCTTCTTCTTGGTAGTCCATATATACGTGCTTGGTGGACTGGTAGTATACTTGATATTCATGAAACAAGACGATTAGTATCAGGACAAAATGCAACAACATTACAAGTAGCTATTGGTGCTGTTGCAGCAGTTAACTATTGTATGAATCATCCAAATGAAGGATTTTGTCTACCAGATGATATTGACGGTGATGAAATACTTGCTATGTCTATGCGATATTTAGGAAATTGGGTTTCAAAACCAGTTGATTGGCCACCAGTAGATGATAAAATTACAAAAAGCTGGCAATTTACATCGTTTCTAGTTGTTGACTAAATGATTTCAAAGAACTTATTTTGGTTTTTTTGTATGACAAAAAAATCAGTATAAAACTTAAGTAAGACGCATTGTTCAATCAAATGCTGTTCAATTTTATTTTCAATATTTAATTGGAGGTGTTACAGTGACTTAATCGAGGTCGCTTGTATACATACATCACTTTCGATATCATCTCTTTACTTTACTTTTCTATTTTTTTCTTTCTATTCGTATTATCCTCCTTTGTTCGTGATATATGTTTCATCTGAGATAATTTCATCATCTATGTTTCTGACCTTGATAACCTTTATTTATATTCTTTTCTGTAAACATATATATACCGATGTTTTTATTCATAAATAAACATTCTTCTTTGGAAGAGATATAGATTACATAACATCTATCCATGTATATCTTGTTAACAGGAGGGCTGCCCAAGATCTCGAAAATGTTCACTTTACCTAATGTTCATGAGTGAATAGAGGGTGTGGGTGTGGGTGGGGTGTGTGTAAATACAGAAAATATTAGTACTCACATCCACACCCACACTCATCCTAGTCGCATCTTAGAGATGCAATAGACTATCCAATATACGCTATGGAAGTATTTAGTAAACATATGACAAAATACGACTCCAATCACCCAGACCATCCAAATTAACATCAAAAGAGACCAGTATCCTTACCCATGATACTCATATCAATCTTGAAAGGACAATATATAAATACGTTTTCATATATAATGTTGAAGTTATTATATCTAACCATAGTCTATCAGTTTGTGCAAGAAAACAAAAAGTAAACTATTTTATTATCTCCTTATCTCGCATTGTGCACGAGCTCGGTTGTCCTTCATGCTGTTTGTCAACGGCTACCATATATCATATGATAAATAGAACTAAATAGTATCAACCAGCATCAGACACAAAACAAGTTTTTGTTTGAATAATTAACCTCAATAATTTTGTCATTTTCTTTCAAGACAATAACCATATCAATGATGGTCGCTCTTCATTTTGTTTTCATGGTAGTGCTACGAATGATACCACTTTTGATCATCACTAATAAGTCTTGTGCATCCAATTACCTATCTTCCAACTCGTCACTCATCGCACCCCATCATGTACGCATTCAACATATCGACGTAAATATTCATCCCGATATTGTTATTGATACTCACACACCACACTTCTCCTGGCAATTAGCTGATGAATACGATAATGATGGACACTTGATTAGAGGAGTACAACAAATAGGTTATCATATTCTGGTACATACTCTCTTCAATGATCGATTAATGTGGAACAGTGGCTATGTTTCTTCGTCTTCATCCACACACATTGTCTATGCAGGTGCACCTTTTGCTTCTGATACTCGTTATACAGTTACTATTAAATACTACACCACGAAACATGAAAGTCGCTGGTACACAGTCAACTTTCGTACTGCACTATTCTCGTCTAATGAATGGTCGAGTAAATGGATTGGCAGTGATCACATCAATATGAATCAGTTACGTACTGTTGCCACTATCAAACCTATTACCATTCAGTCAGCCACTGCTTACATTAGTGGTATTGGTTACTATCAGCTGTATATTGAGGGTCAATTGATTGATCCCTCACGACGCTTAGATGTTGGCTGGACAACATACCAACAAAGGACACTTTATGCATCCTATGATCTCACCACTGTACTAAACATTAGTAGACCGATTGGTATCGGGATCGTCTTAGGACAAGGCTGGTACAATCGACAACAATGGACCATTGGTTTAGGCGCACGTACCGAACTTGCCGAACACTACGGTCCACCTCGTGTACTCATGCAGATCAATATTCACTATATGGATGGCAGTAATCAGTCAATAGTTACTGATTCAACCTGGGTAGGCAGAGAGGGTGAACATCGCTTGGATTCTGTATATATGGGTACAACGATGGATCTCCGAGCAGTACGATCCTGTTGGTCATGTGCCAATTTCACTGATCCTTATTCACTATGGATCAATGCATCCATCCTATCATCACCGATCAATTACACTGCTGGCGGTCAGCTATCCCTACAAACCATGGACCCCATTCGTATTGGACCCTCGGCATTACATATTGCCACATCAGGTAACTTAGGTGTGATCGCTGGAGTCAAGGGTGCTAGTCTCACAGATAGTGGTGTATTGAAACCGATCTCGCAGGATTTTGTCAATGGACAGTTGTTCGATCTTGGCCAAAACTTTGCTGGATGGTGTAGATTATCGTCATTGAATGCAAGTAGATCGACTATCATTCAATTGCGCTACGGTGAACTGCGCTATTCACGCGGTGAGAATGGAATTGATTTTTCAGGATTGTATTACGAAAATTTGTTCAGTATTGCTGTAATGGATACAGTGATCTTAAATGGTACAGGCAACGAAACATTTGAGCCCTTGTTTACTTATCATGGTTTTCGATATTTATTGGTCAATGGTTATGATGACATTCACAAAGATAATGTCGAATGCTACAATGCACATACCGAAACAACTTTGATTGGGAATTTCAGTAGTACAAGCAATGTACTAAATCAAATTCAGCACAATATTCTGTGGTCGCAGTTGAGCAATTCAATGTCATTGCCAACTGATTGTCCACAAAGAAATGAACGACGTGGTTGGATGGGCGATGCTGCACTCAGTATTGATGAAACACTCTACAATTTCGATTATGTCAATTTCTATCTTAATTTTCTCACTATGATTGCTGACAATCAAGCGTTTGATGGGGCTGTAAGTGACACTGTACCATTCACAGTGGGTTTAGTTCCTGCCGATCCGAACTGGGGTACAGCCTATGCAACCATTACTTGGTACTTGTATGAACATACTGGTGATATCACGATTATCAAAAAATATTATACAGGTATTCAAGCGTGGATCGATTATTTGACTGGTCAATATCAGAAAACTGGTCTAGCCAATATGTTCTATCATTTTGGTGATTGGGCAGCAGCTCAATCGACAAAAAATGGTTCTCTCGTGTCCTCGTATGCATATATGCATGATGTGTACACATTTATTAACATGAGTGAAATCTTGAATCACACTGATAATGTGCAAAGGTACAGACAATTGTATCAGCAGTTGGCTGATGAATTTCATCGTGTCTTCTACAATGCGACTGCGACAGGCTATACAGATGGGTGTCAAGCAGCAAATACTCTTGCACTAGCCTTGTCCAATGTTGTACCAGTATCGATACGTGCTACTGTGCTCAATGCTCTCGTCACTAGTCTGAATACGACTGGTCATTTCTATGGAGGTATCGTCAGTGTAGCTCCATTGTACCCACTTCTCTCGAGAGAAGGATATCATGATCTGGCCTTAAAACTCGCTCTGTCTACATCATATCCATCATATGGCTACATGTTTCACAATGAAATCCAAAATGCTACAACCACTTGGGAACAATGGAATACATTGCCAACACAAGCACAATCTTCTTTGAATCATCACATGTTTAATAGTATTGGTGCATGGTTTTATCGATATCTGGTAGGCATTGAGTTGAATGCTCTCAAAACGATTACTGTTCATCCACGGATGTCCTACGATTTTGATTTATTAAATCATGCTGAAGCAGAATTGATGACTATTAAAGGAACAATTCGAGTAACATGGACACGAGTATCGGTGGACTCTATGATCTTGTCGATCCTTATTCCTAATAATGTGGACGCGATAGTATCATTTGACCCATTGATCCGGAATGGACGATGTTCGAAACTGATATGTGACGAAGAAGTATTTTGGATGAGAGAAAATGTCAATAATGAGTGGAAATTGTTGAAGGATGTGTATGGTTTGAGTAATTTGAGTGAGAATCAATTCACAGGTACAATGTCAATAAGAGTAGCCTCGGGTCAATATACTTTCATGGCATATTGGCAATAAAGCATCTTGCATACAATAGTTGTATTTTTTGTCAGAATAACGCGCAGAAATATTGCTCTCAGTGTTATGATGATATATCGAGCGCTATATTGGGTTCAGGTGTGGGTGTTCTAGTTGTCTTTCCTTCACCAACAGCCACAACCCAAATGTATTAAATAGATAAATGAAAATGTCAACACTGGATTCGTGACTATTGCACGTAATATTACATTCAGAGTTATGCGTGCCATTCAAAATAATAAAAAGGTAAAAAAGGTACTGCAAAGGTAAAAAGACTAGTTCGTACAACTCGTAGTTCCTGACATTTTTTCATTCTTCTTCATGCTTCATCATGCTTCAACACGCTCCTTCATACTTCTACATAATTCTCAAAAGTTGTTCATATTTTATCACACTTTTTCATATGCCTGCGAGTCCCTTTTATTGTTTTCCTTAATTATCTTTAGAGAAGAAATGTCTCGATCTTACAAGAAGAGTGTGGATCAGGGTGGGCATGAGTGTGAGCGGCTGTAAGTCAAAAAAAGAAACTCACATCCACGCTCACGCACCCCATGTCCATGCCCACACCCACACATACACTCACAGCCATATTCACACCCAAAACGTTTCGTACGCAACGTGTGCATCTTGTGAGAATACGTTCGCGATAGAATGTGTCACAAAAAAAAATAAAGAAAAAGAAAAAAAAGAGTAAGGCACGTATAAAGCTACCTTGTTGCAAAGGTAAAAATGAATCATTCACAAAAATGAATAAATAGTGTTACATGCACACTATCGAGCTTAATCAACAACAACTCGAAACAACATTTTCTCAGTCTATTGGGTCGTATTGATCTCGTTATAGTGAGTAACTTATCAGGATAATGCAAAAGGTAGGAACAAGCTGATTAAATAACACACACATAATACCAATATGATCTACACATTAGACACGATTAGGACATATATGAAATCAGTCACAATATTCGACTTATCTCACTTTTATTTGTTATTTTAACTAACCTCAATTCATGGACAATGTCTATATATTGTATAATCAGTTTGGTTCCGTTTTAGTCAAAACTGTACCTTGTGTTTAGTTAATCAAGAGATGAGTGTTGAACTGTCAACATAATATAATTAGGTACTTGATGATAATAGATATCAAAAATGCTATTGACACAATAGTAAAATCTCAATGTCATGAGGATGAAGATGAAGAGCTTCGCTTTTCCCAGTACTGTGTCAAAGTCAATCTAAAATGCTTCGAGCCACACAGTAATGAAAAAAAAAATGAGATTGAAAATGTTCAGACTATATAGGACAGGATATCAACTAGAAGCTGTAATGTTTTGTGTCATACAGTGAAGTCTAAGGGAGACATTAGATAACTTCAATCTGATATTTTTCTGTGCGAATAGCCGCGATAAGGTTCAGATTAACTGAAATTTTCGCATGCGATACTTTCCCACAACAATTATTTTTCTATTCTCGTCTTGTTAAGCTAATAATTTTTTCGAACTTTGTGAATATTAATAATTCCTCTGGTTTTAATCATTTTTCTCATTCACGTTTTTCGATCCTAAAATATGGGAACAGAAGATTTTTCTTTATTCATACTAGTGGGGTTAATTAATCCAATAGTATGCGGTTCATGAGGCACATGAATCAATAAATAATTCAAAATTTTCATATTTTTTCATGGAAAAAATTCATCTATGAGATCTGTTATATATATCTTAGTTTATTAAGTATATTTTACTTTCAATCTCATGTTGGGGACGTGCCCTGTGTGTGTATGCTTCCAATTTCACCCTCAGGGTGTGAATGCGGATGTGTGGCTGAAGAGAGGGTGCTAATCTCGCAGTCACAGTTTTGTCCCTCACTTTTATCTTCGATATTTTTACTTTTCGTCCAAACTAGAATATTTTCGAAGCCAACAGATACGGCATTCTTCAAATCTTGTCTAAATTCATTATTTGTAGATTTAATTGCAGAAACTCGTTTTACCTACCGAGTCAAAAATTTTATACAGTCCTATTTGAATACTCTGATTATAAAAATATTTACCAATGGTGAGTTTTCTATTAAACAAAAATAAAAAAGAATCAGATGATTAATTTTCTCATAGATTAACTTTACTGTTGATGAAATTCGTAGTTTGATGAGCAAAAGGAAGAATATTCGAAATATGTCCGTTATTGCCTCTGTTAGCCATGGAAAATCAACATTAACTGATTTGCTTGTATGCAATGCTGGTATTATGCTGCCACAGAAGGCTGATGAAATGCGTTTTACAAATACACGAAAAGATGAACAAGAACAAGCTATTACAATGAAATCAATGTAGGATTTAAAAAAAAACTTTTTTTGGTTATCACCATAGAAATTCATATTTAGAGCTACTTCACTTTATTATGAATTGCCAGCTAAAGATTTAGAATCCATTAAACAAGAACGCGAACTTAATCTATCTCATTTTTTAATTAATTTTATTGATTCACCGGGTCATGTTGATTTTTCATTGGAAGTTACTGCTGCTTTATGTGTTACCGATGGTGCTCTCGTTGTTGTCGATTGCGTTTCAGGTAAAAAATATTCCTTGAATAAATAGGATCTTTTTTTTAATTAAAGAAGTATTTTTTAAACTTAAGGTGTCCGTTTACAAACTGAAACTGTCCTTCGTCAAGCTCTTACTGGACGTATTAAACCAATTTTATTTATAAATAAGATGGATCGTGCTTTACTTGAATTACAACTTCAACAAGAAGATCTTTTTCAGACATTTCAACGTATTATTGAAAATGTCAATGCTATCATTGCTACTTATGGTGATGATAATGGTTCAATGGGTGATTTACAAGTAAGAAGCCTTAGTTTTTACCAACAATGAAAAATTCATAGATCAAAGAAATTTATTTTGTTTTCTTTTGTACGGATACAGTGTTCGTGACTGTGTCCTTAAATTCAAAAATTTTTCTCGTAAATAAAGATGTTAACAATATATTCTCAGTTTGTTATGTTTTTAATTTAATAAAATGATTATTTTAGATTGATCCAACAAAAGGTACAGTTGGTTTTGGTTCTACTCTTCATGGTTGGGCTTTTACATTGAAAGAATTTGCTGATATGTATGCATCAAAATTTCATATTGAAACTGATAAGTTAATGAAACGATTGTGGGGTAATAATTTCTTTTCATCGACAGAAAATAAATGGTCAACAACTGATGGAGAAGGTAAATTATTTCTAAAAAGAATCAAAAACGAAAATAAATTATTATTAAATAATATATTAGGTTATATTCGAGGTTTTTGTCAATTTGTTCTTGATCCTATATTCAAAGTTTTCAAAGCTATTATGAACTGTAGAAAAGACGAATATACAGAATTACTTGAAAAATTAAATATTAAATTACAAGAAAAAGATCGTAATGAATTAGAACAAGGTGGTAAATCACTTTTAAAACTTGTTATGAAACAATGGTTACCAGCTGGTGATGTTCTTCTCACAATGATTGCTATACATTTACCATCACCTGTTGTTGCACAAAAATATCGTGCTGAACTTATTTATGAAGTTATGTTAATAGAAAACAAAATTAATATTATCTAAGTTAAGATATATGTATATATATTTATTTATTTAGGTCCACAAGATGATGCAGCATTTTTGGGTATTAAAGAATGCGATCCAAATGGTCCATTGATGATATATATTTCAAAAATGGTACCTACATTGACTAGAGGTCGTTTCTATGCTTTTGGTCGTGTCTTTTCGGGTGTTGTTAAGTCAAATCAACCAGTTCGTATTATGGGTTCTAATTATGTACCAGGTAAAAAAGAAGATCTGTATGTTAAAAATATTCAACGGTATGTAAAGCTATTTTTGTATGTATACAGAATGTTTCAAAAGTTCATCGATATAATAAATGCAAATAATTCTTCTACAATTCGAACGATTTGCATGAATTTTCTATAACTTAGTTCTTTGTTTCTCTACCGAGAGTTCTCCTCCTTTTCCACGATTTTCTGGAGAGCAACTTATCAAAAAACAATTGAAACATTCGAAGTAGATAAATCTTGATGAGTAGAACAAAAACTCTGCTAGACTCAAAATTTTCCGATACTTTATTATAGGAGATATCGGGCTCACAAATGCTACAAACTGCTTCGTCCTATTATCTCCTTCCAGCATACCATAAAAAAATACATGTTTTTTCGCAAAATCTGCTAAAAAATCAACGGTGCAAAGTGATTTTGATAAGAAAAAAAGCATACGTGTATCAAGACTTTTTTCTCTAACCAACATGATTGAAAGCTGGCCGTGTTCAACAATGTGAAGAGTCCATGACCTATATTCTAAGCACTTTTTGAATGAATCATTAACATAATTTTGTATAGAATAGAACAATAGTAACACGAGTTTTTCTGCTGGAAATTTTGAAAGTTGGATTTAATAAAAGCATTACATAACGATGCAAATCGATCATTTTATATGGCGTTTGACATAAGTCACTTCAGAACTGTATTAGCAATGAAAAAACTAAAACTTAAAAAACTTTTGATTTTCACACCTGGAAAGGAACAGAAGATTGCTCTTAAGTTTTATTCAATATATAGTTGGGTCCAAATACCAATAATTATTAGGATCAAAATAATTTTATTTAACGTTGAATGGGAATTACTTATGATTGTAAAACGATGATTGTCAGCTAAGTTTGATAAAAGAAAAAAAAGGCAAAAGAAGATGGTTAGTGAAATTCTATTGATATCAAATATTCTGATGGATTTTAACAATAGAATACATCACATTATAGATAAGATGTTCCCTAACAGATAAATCCAACGAGGTGTTTGACAATTATTCGAATTCTTTCCATGAGAATACATGAAAGAAGATGTTTTCAAGATGCTGATCAGAGGTCATCAATATGAAAAATACAACGGTGTCAATATTTTAAATAACGAACGTACATCTGAAATAATATTTTAAAGATAGTCAAGTAAAAAAAGATGAGCATCCTAGAACTATTGTTCAATATTTATTCGTATTGCTTTTGCCGACGAACTTTTTTAAAATTCTCTATATGAAAATATATGATAATGGAATTTCCTATTCATCTTCTGAATTGATTGAATATAATACACATTTGATTTTCACTAAATTTATTTTCTTCGCATAGAAAAAAAATAAGAGAATAATTATGATATTTTATTTTATATGTTCTATACTTAGAACAATTCTTATGATGGGTCATGATATTGTACCAATTGAAGATGTACCATGTGGAAATATCTGTGGTCTTGTTGGTGTTGATCAATATTTAGTTAAAACTGGTACAATAACAACATTTGAAAATGCATACAATCTTCAAGTACGTTGTTTTATTTGAATGATATGAAAAATATTTTGTATATTTTCTAGGCAATGAAATTTACTATCACTCCTGTCGTATGTGTTACTGTCGAACCAAAAAATCCAGGTGATTTACCAAAATTAGTCGAAGGTTTGAAACATTTGGCTAAATCAGATCTTATGGTGCAAGTAAATTTTTTAAAAACTATTATTTATGATGCTATTGTATATTGAATTATGTTTTGTTTTGTTTTATTGAAGTGCACTGTTGAAGAATCTGGTGAATATATAGTGGCCGGTGCTGGTGAATTACATTTAGAACTTTGTTTAAAAGATCTTGAAAAAGATCATGCTTGTATTCCAATAAAAATTTCTAATCCAATCGTATCATATCGTGAAACTGTATCTGAAGAATCTGAAATAATGTGTCTAGCGAAATCACCTAATAAACATAATCGTATCTACTTAAAAGCTCGACCTATGCCTAATGGTAAAAGAAAAATATTTAATTACTGGATTTGAGAAACTCTTTTTTTACAATGAATTTTTCAGGTTTACCAGAAGATATTGATAAAGGTGAAGTAACATCATGTCAAGAAAATAAAGCACGTGCGCGTTATTTAAATGAAAAATATGATTATGATATAAATGAAGCACGTAAAATTTGGTGTTTTGGACCTGAAAGAACTGGACCAAATCTTTTAATTGATTGTACTAAAGGTATACAATATCTAAATGAAATAAAAGATGGTTGTATTATTGGATTTCAATGGGCTACAAAAATGGGTGTACTTGCTGAAGAAAATGTTCGTGGTGTTCGTTTTGATATTCATGATGTTATATTCTATAACGATGCTATACATCGTGCTAATGGTCAAATTATTCCAGCAACTCGTCGTGTGATTTATGCATCAATGCTCACAGCTAAACCACGACTTGTAGAACCAATTTATTTATGTGAAATACAAGTATGTTAAGAAAAAAAACAAATTTTCATTTTCATAGAGTTATAATAATTGTATTTAGTGTCTAGAAGTTGATATTGTTAGTATTTATGATGTATTAAATCGTCGTCGTGGTTATGTTTTTGAAGAAAATCATGTAGCTAGGACATCAATGTGTATTGTTAAAGCTTATTTACCAGTCAATGAATCATTCGGTAAGGGAATAATCTCGATTTTTTTTAATTCATATTTATTTTATTTTCATAGGTTTTACTGCTGATCTTTGTTCAAATACAGGTGATCAAGTATTTTCACAGTGTGTATTTGATC